AGAATTTTAAAACTGAATTTCAAATATAAAATATCTTAATGGAGGGTTTTATTTCATTTTAAGTACAAAGGTGTTTTGTTTTTTTTTTTTTTCTCACAGAATAAAACTAATGAGATAAATGTTGCTGGGGTGGCTTAGCAAGATGCGTGGTTGACAGCCATCAGCCTCTCACAGAAAGAGATGTCTGTCCCTGCACCTTATCGGAAACCAGAAGCACCTCTCCTCCACACTGGGGGTTTCAGTGTTGCTTTAGAGATGAATGGGCTTTAAAGAGTTAAAGTTCTTTCAAAGGTGAGGAGTGACAGTATTTCAAAGAAACTACTGTTTTTCCAACAATACTATTCTAAAAAAGCTAACTCAGCACTATTCTAAATAGGTCAAGAATCACAAACCTGACAAGGGAAGCATTCATCCCCCTAGACTGCTCCTTCATTTTACAAAGAACCTGGTAAGAATTAAGCCCCTCCCAGCAGCTCCCTCCCTGAAATGTAAGTAAGTAACAGAGTCAGGAAAGAAAATGTGATTCATGGATACATCCTGCCATGTGCTTGCATTTGTAGCACTCTTCCTGCCAGAAAAGTTCAGCATTTTATTCACTGTAAGGTTTTAGGTGGGAACAGAACACAAGAAAGCAGGAAAAGATTGATCAGTTGCTCTCAGACAGTTTAAGGTATCAAAGGTGAACAAGTCACAGGAAGATCGGAGAAAACCCAAGTGCTTCAGCTCAGGCAAACACACTGGACAGACAGAGCGGCTCTCCGTCAGCACTGGGGACACTGAGAGGGAGCCAGACCCCTCCCTTGAGGAGGAACCATCCCTGTGCAGGCCCTGACCACAGCCCAGAGCTCAAGGTGCTGGGACCCACAACAAAAGCAGGCAGCAGCCCAGCAGTGGGTCAACACACGGAAGCAGCAGCAGCGCTATGGGTGAGAGACTGTGGGAGGGAGGGAGGCTCATCCCTGACACCGCAGGCTCTCTCCAGTTCACCAGAACAAGCATTTGCTACACAATCACAATGGCCAGCTCCAACTTGGCTAATTTATCCGTTAACCAGCAGGGAGTGTGGGGACAGTCGTTTCCGGGGACTGGCGCTCTGCTGGCTTAGGGCTCTTCCGCCCCTCTGCTTGGTGAACTCTTGAGAGCTTCTAAAAAGGAAGCCGATGGGCTGGGTGTTACTCCAGCCACACGACTTCTTCATCCTGAGGCTTTCTGCAGGACTGATGGGATGCACCTATCTGTCAGCTGCCCACTGTGTGCACCGCAGTAAGTGCTGCACTGTGTTTGAGTTCTGCTTCTCCGGGCAGCAGCTGGTAATATAACTGCAGAGCATGGGATGAGCTCAAGATGTCAGATGGAAATGACACTGAGCGACACTAGAGCGCTCACAAATAGCTGCACCTATGAGCAGGACCCAGCTGGCCCAGGCTGCCCCTCGCACCCCAAAGCCGACTCCGCCAGGGGCAGGGCAGGCATGCTCCCTGTACCCCGACGGGCAAGGAGGGTGAGCGCAGGCTCAGGGGAGGACTCCCAGGTGAAGCGGCAGGGAATCTGCATCTGCAGTGATATCTGATCGAAACCCCAAGGATCAGGAGCTGCTGCAGATGTGCAGAGAGACAGCTGTGCTCATTGGGCACACACGAAGCAGGTGACACATGAAGCAGCCAGGTACAGTTGCCCTGGCGCGCAGACCTGGAGCCACCAGAGCAGCACAGAACTGAAGGTGCAAGGACTCAAGTGTGGCAGTAACACGATGGTCAGAAATACAGACACAGAAAGAAGGGCCAGGCCGGGCAAAGCACAGAAAAGCTGTTCCACTAGGCACATGAGCAACTACATGAGCCTGCATGTTTTGTCGTCTCTGACATGTTGACAACCAGGCTCGGTCACAGAGAAGGTAGGGCCCAGGGAGCAGGGATTCCAGGAGTCCAAGCCATGGTAGAGCCCTACTCCTGCTGGGGAGAAGGGGAACTTACTCGGCAAAAGAACCACAAAGACTAAGGTCAAGCAGTGCTATGACTTTACTGCAGGTCAAAAGAGACCTCTGAGAGGGGAGCAGCACCCAGGGCAGCCCAGACATCCAACTCCTGTGCTGCAGCCCCGCACTGCATCCAGGGCTCCTGGGGGCCGGGAGACCCCCTGCAACACACTCACACAGACACAGCTTGGCACCCTCTCTGCCTGTTACTCCAGATGCCACACCAAACCCATGCTAGCCCCGGTGTCTGGACAGAATTACACCTGTAGCAAAGTGTGGGACAGGAGCTCTGTGGAGACCCAAAGTGGTGACCCCTGCGGACAACAGAAGGAAATTCCTCTGAAGTACACCTTCCAGAACATGGCCACAGACATCGGAAACAGGAGGGCACAGCTGCAAAGTGCTCAACTCAACAACCTCTTGCTCATTGTAGGAAACCAAAGCAGGACGATCCACCAGAGGGTCAGGGAGGCTGCCTGAGTTTCCTTGAAAGAGAAGAGCAAGCAGATGGTGCCCAGGTGACAAGGACCCTTGCCACCCGCTTCATTCAGAGACTCTGTGTCCAGAGGGGACCCTGCACCAGCACTCCTGGGGGCTCCGGTCCTGTCCCCACCAGGCGCAGCAGCAGGCACAGCCACTATAGGCCATGCTCAAGATGAACAGGTGTGCTCAGGGAACACAGTGACCATGTAGGACAGCAAACAGTGCCCTGCCCCACAGCTCAGCTTCCTCCCCCTGCACAAGGGCCAAGCTGTTGTTCTTCCTGATGTTGCTTTCACAGGCCACCTTGTTTAGTCCACGAATCAGACTCTAACTTCCTGAAGCAGAAAACCCAGACAACAGACACCACCACCCCCATCCCACCTTACCCTCTCCCAGACACACAACACCACCCCACAGACTCCACTAGGATCAGGTAGCCTCCCACACTCATTTCTGCAGCAATAGCCCATATGTGCTAAGTTTCAAAACACAATTCAAAAATAGATAATAAAAACTGGTACTGCAGACAACGGGGGCCTTAGAAACAGAAACACATGGACAAACACATATGTTATTCTGTTCCACAGCATTCCAAGAGCCAAACACAGCCATGAGGACACCTTCCTTGAGTTGTGCTCAGAGTAACGCTTCATTTTTCTAGAAGAAAGAACAGGAGGCCCCAGCCTGAATGACTGACGACGCTGCTGTGCAGCTTTCCAGCCTCGGCCCTGGGCGTCCTGGTACCTCTGAGCACTCCTCACGCAGCATTCACAGGTTATTCCGAGCTGAGGCAGGGATGCATTTGTTCCCCATGGATGGGACAGGACAGATCAGGTGGCAAGTCACACACTGGAGACACAGCAGTGAGAGCACCCTAGGCAGAGCAGGGAGGAGAGGGCATCGGATGCCCTGGGGCACAATGGAGGTTTCCTGTGGAGCCCAGCTCAGGTAAGAAATGACAAGAATCCTGGCTGTGAGCGCACAGGGCAGGGGTTGGTCCAGGGAGGGTCAGCAGATCTGAGTCACAGTCACTGAGGTTGCTGAACATGTGGCAGGGTAGAAAATGAATGTCCTCATTCCAGTGACAAGCAATAAAGTGCCCACTGTGTGCCAGGCAGGCTCTCAGACCCAGGACACGAGCTCTCTCAAGTGAGCAGGGAAGAAGGCAAGAGGCAGAGGCCTCCCCTCTGCTGCCCATCATCAGGCCTCTGCCCTGGACAGGCCCATGGGGCCCTTCTGCCTGCTCCTCCCCGCCCCCCAGGAGGACCTCAGCTTCTGACAGGTACCAGCTGCCGGCCAAGAACAAGCAGCCAGCATAACTGTGGCTGCTAAGCTGCTACACTAATGAAAGGAAATGCTATCGGACGGGCTTCCAGGACATGAGATGTCTGGTTTTCCTTTCAGAGCAAGCTTCAGGGCTCCCCCAGCAAGCTCCTTCCCCAGCCCTCCTTCACTTTCACGTTCACTTAGCCACACTCGCACCTGCTGCAAGGCAGGGCCTTAAGCCATCCCCAGCTCTCGCCCTGCCAAGTCCAGGGGAGCCGTTTGCTAGCTGCTGCTGCTGTGCCCACGGCCACCGGGACCACCTCCAGGACCCTCTGCATCCCTCTCCCCTGCCCCTCCTGCAATCTGTGCCTGGAAATTGGGCACGAATCTCTTGTTTCCTTCAACTCGAGGTTTCATTTATTGGGGTTGGAAACTAATGTGCCTTTTGGCTCATGTAATGAGAAAATCCTCTGGCTAAAACACACACAAACAAATTCCTTTTCTCTTGAATCAAACAAAACAAAATTATTTTCCATGTTGCTCTGAAAGAAAATTAAGTAGACAAAATATCATCACTAAAGTATATCAAACTCTACTAGAGATGACAGAAATTGGGAAGAAAATTGTACCAAGATCATGGTGAAACCACACTGAAAATCAAATGAGGAGGGGAAGAGCCTAATCTTTCTCACAGGAGAACTCCAAACAATTAGGGTAGCAGGAGTGGACAAAATACAGATGCCCAGGGAGAGTTGAGATTCAGATATTATAAGAGACCTACACTCAGAAAGTATCCCTTGTTGGGCTATAGCAGGTCGCAGCTCATGCGGGACACTTGCCTAGCATGTAGGAGGCCCTGGATTTATCTCCAGCATTGCAAGGAAAAGAGTCTTTGTTTATCTGAAAATCAATTTTGCATACTCTACCACCATACAAATAAGATATGTAGGTATGTGGTATCACTGAAAACTCTGGTGTATGTTTATATTTTTTAAAAGTATTATAGAAGACATATTGTCATGAAACTCCTCAAAATCTTCCCCCTCGCTTCAAACATACTCATCCCGTGGTTCTTGCCACTTTCTGAAGCAGCTCTGGAGTCCTTTTTCTTGAGTGTCTTTAGTTGCACTGTGTGGCTGCCTTGATGTTCTGACCTAGGTGGAAATGCTTCCCTTTTATGGTCATTTTTGGGGAGGAGCCAGGAGTCACACAGTGCCAGATCCCGTGACTAAGGTGGGTGAGGATGTGGTATCATGTTTTTATGAGCTGCCTTCCTGCAGGATACGGGTAGCTCAGAGCAGTTTTCACCTATTTTCAACCACATCTCATAAAGACATAAAAATGGACTCCTGGAACTGGTTAAGTGCTTGAAGTAAGGGGGCATATTTTGAGGGGACGCATGGCAGCATGTTTTTCACTATAATGATTCCAAACATTCACTGTATTTTTTTTTTTCAGATCACCCCTTGTACTTCTCTCTCCAGGAAACAGGGCTTTATCCTCAGAGTCTCTCGGAGGCTGCGCTGTGCTCAGTGACTCACCTGGAAGCACAGAGGTGGGAAAGGGAACCCTGCAGCTTCACAGTGGAGGGACATAGCCAGCACCAGATTAGCCAGTGATTGAGGTTAACATCATCAGTGGAGTCATGAAGAAGTGGGGAGGGCTCCACCTTTGGGGTACTCTCTTCCAAAACCCAGACCCCCATCTGACAGCAAGAGAAGCCAAGACACCGTTCAGGGCATCTGGCCAGCTTGAGGCTGCAAGCGTCATGAAAAGCAAGGGAAGACCAAGAAACCCACAGGCGATGGGGTGCAGTGTGGCACCCTCAGTGGGTCCTGGGACAAAGGCAGGCATGGACGCAGACCATGGTGAAATTCAAACCAGGTCTAATTAACAAGGGGACACCCAAGATCCATTATGGAGTTTTTACAATGTGCTATGAAAATACAAAACAGTAATGAAGGGGAAAGCAAGTTGGGGGTATATGGGAACTCTATACTGTGGACAACATTTCTGTGCATTTAAAATTACCTCAGAATAAGGTTTTCCTAATTAAATGTAAGCAAATTAGAGGTTATGAGAATATCAAACAACTGCTTCAAAATTCTCCTGCAAAATGCAGGGAGAGAGCTGGTAAGACAAGTGCTGATAACCATAACTTTTAATGCAAGTATTTTTTAAAGGCACATGAGCAAATGACAGAAGACCAAGGCCAGGAACGTCACCCGAGGAACTTTCCAGGCCTCCCAAGTCCCCTTCATCTTTTGGCCCCACCAGGCTCCAGATCAGCCACCGCCCCATTTGTCTGGATGCAGAGGTCAGTGCTGGAAGTCCAACTCCCAGACACAACCTCAGCCAGTAGAACCTTGCACTCTTGCATGTGTCTGTGTGTGCCCCATATGCACTGGTGTGCACATGAATGTACACTGAGATGGCAGAGCTTAATACATAAAAAGCCAGGCGCAGCTCCAATATCCAGGTAACCAGTACAGCTCCCCAGAAAGCTCTGGCCTAGCGCAGCGCTCTCTGCTCTGCTGCACGCCTCCCACTGCTGTCTGTTTATGCTCAGCATCAACCCCACACAGACAGACATTCTTCGCAGTTGCTGTGAAAACTCAAGCACACACACAACCCCAGCTAGCACACCCCAGAGTTCTGGGAGGCCACCCCATGGCAGCAGGGCCGCCAGATGCACTGAAGCTTGTGTGCAGACTGAACAGTGGGGTCTAGGGTCTCCTGGGCACAGCCAAAACCATATACAAGAAGAAAGACCCATGCCAGGCATCTAGGGGCACGGAGTAGGGGGCCCTAGGAGTCAGCGCACCTGCACATGGAACCCAGAGCCCAGCAAACAGCAGGGACCCAGGGACAAGCTCCTTCTCCAGGAAGGAAGAGCACAGTACACAGCAGGGCCACACCTCAGGCACTGGTAGAACAGTACTTGCCAGAGGCCACAGGGGCATCAGGTACCAGGCCCCCAGCAAAGGTGCCAAATCACAACTCTGGGCACCGGGACTCTGGTAGTAGAACAGAACCACATCCAGTGGACTTCTGCAAACTTAGATTCATGCATTAGCAAAAACAGACTGAGGCGGAGACCAGAGAGCTGTGGCAGGTGCAATGGGGGGCCTGGTTTTGATCTGGAACCACAGGCGGTACCACACAAACAGTAACACCTTACTTTGTGTGCATGTGTGTACGCATGCATGTGTGCACTACAGGGGACTGAACCTCACAGTGAGCTCCTGCCCCAGCCCATTTTTATTTTTTGAGACAGAGCCTTAATAAATTGCCCAGACTGGGCTGGACCCTGAAATCCTCCTGCCTCAGCCTCCCAGAGTTCTGAAATTACAAGTTAATGACTTACTTTTAATAACTCTATGCTCACGACAGATGTTGACATTAGAGAAAATGAGATAGAGAATGTACAAATGTCCCATTAGTGTCTTTATGCCTCTTCTGTAAATCAAATTATTTCAAAATAAGATGATAAAAAGATACATTTTACAAGTAACATAGAAAAGATTATTAAGAATAAACCCTGGCAAACACAAGAATCCTTTAGTAAAGACATTTTACTCAATTACTGAGAGGATTATTAAAGCTGGCTTGTGTATTTCATTTTTCCAAATTGCAGACTACACAATAACACTCCCAAAGAAGGCTGCAGAGCCGGGTAACTTCAGCAGACACGCAGACCATGGCTGACTCAGAGCGGCATGTGGCCTCGACAGTTCACTCTGCGGTCCGTGTTCTTGAGGTCTTTGCAGCTCACAGCACAGTTAGATGGAAACATGTGGAACCACACTGGGTGAGCCAGGCACTCCCTGGAACCTAATTTGCCACAGGGGTCTCATGGCAGCCCCCTCCTGGCCCCTGGAGTCCATTCCAGTACTGCCCATGGGGGTGGTGGCAGGGAAGGACTCTCTGGCTGCCCAGGCCACAGACACTGCCAGCTGGGACCCAGTCAGCAGACCGGGTCACCACAGCCTGAGGTGGGCACCCACTGGCGACGGCCCTAAGGCTGCTGCTGGAGGGCCAGCTAGAGAGGTCGTGGTCACAGGACCAGGCCCTGGCACTGCTGCCAAGACTCCTGAGCAGGCCCCAGGGACCATACCTGTAACCCCCAACCACATGTGTGTATCTCCATGTGTAGACACAGGCGTGTGCACACACATTCATACATACACTGTGGCTCCACTTTCTTTGATTTCAGTTAACCATTGTTAAAACTGCAATGTGAAAATACGGAATGGAAAATTCCAAAAATAAACATCAGGACACCCCAGTAACTCCATGAGGGAGGGGTCCCAGGTGAGTTCTTGCCTCCCCACAGTGAAAAGCCTGGGGCAGGGAGGGGTCCTAGATCTGAAACACTGAGCCATGCAGGTAGATAGAGGCCTCTAGAAACGGGCTGGCTGGGCAACAGCAGTGGACTGCATAACTCTATACAACAACAGACACTATGTTAACCCAACGCAAAATCAAAGTTCAGTTCTAAAATAGTTTCAAAAATATCTTCAGTCACTTCCAGGTCTAGACACTGAGCAAATCTCCATGCATTTTTACCCCACCCACCATGATCGTATTTACCATTTCCAGAACTCACCAAACAATCACCCACACCCCTGACTTCCCACAGCACAGTTACACCAATCGGTAACCAGGGGGCAATGTGGGATGACGCCATGACCAGCAAGGCTGGGCCCTCAAGAACACTGTCACCTCTACCGTGTCCTCTCTGAGCTGTTTTCTCCTGCAGAAGCCACATCCAAAAGAACCGAGGCCTCCTGACCAACCCCAGCCCTGAGCTGCAGTGCTGTAGGGACCTGTCCTGGGGGTAGGACCTCCCATCTTTACCAGGCCCCTTAGAGGGAGCCCCTAGCTAAGCACCCCCAAAGCTCTTGAGGCACCTCACACTCCAGCCCACCAAGTTTCAGCTGTCACAGTGACAGGGGGCCAACACTTCTGCATTTCTTTCCAGGATTCCAGACCTCGGCAGGCAACCAGCACTTACTGACTAAAATCTACCCGTGCAGGGGTCCTAAGCGGGTGGCCCAGTCAGTCAAGATTAGAGTCTTCCTTATCTTAGACAAAGGTGCCAAACACATTCACTGGAAGAAAGACAGCCTCTTAATAAATGGTGCTGGGAAAACTGGCTCTGCACATGCCAAGATTAAAGTGGACCCGTATCTTTCACCACACACTAAACTAAATTCAAAATGGATCAAAGATCTAAATATTAAAACAACATTAAATCTTTGGAAGATAGAGTAGGTAAAATTCTTGAAGACATTGGTGTAGGCAAAGACTGAACAAAACCTCAACTGCACAGGAACTGTCACAAGGAATCAACAACTGGGATCTCATCTTATTAAAAAGCTTTTGCACAGCAAGAGAAACCACCAACACAGTGGAAAGACAACACACAATGTGGGAGAAAATGTTTGCCAGCTCTTCTTCAAGGGGTTACTATCAACAACATATAAAGAACTCAAAGAAATCAGTCCTCCCAGATTAAAATCCAATCTAAAAATGGGCACCTAAGACTTCTCAGAAGAGATACAAACAACAAATAAATATGTGAAAAAATGTTCAATATCACTAGTCATTCAAGAGATGCAAATTACGGGGCTGGAGGTTTAGCTCAGCGGCATAAGCACCTGCCTTGGAAGCAGGCAGTCGTGAGTTCGATCCCCGGTACTGATAAAAAGGAAAAAGACAAAAAAAAAAGAGAGATGCAAATTACAACACTGAAATTCTACTTCACCCTAGAAAGAACAGCTACTATCAAGAAATCAAGCAATAACAAATGCTGGAGGGGCCTTGGGGAAAAAGGAGCCCTTCACTGTTGGTGGGAATGCAGACTGGTGCAACCACTGTGGAAATCAATGTGAAGATTCCTCAAAAAAACTAGAATTGGAGGTCCCATTCAACTCAGCTATTCTCCTGCTGGGTATCTTCCCAGAAGAATTAAAAACATCATACCACAGTGATATATGTGCACCCATGTTAACAGCAGCATAACTTGTAATAGGCAGATCTTGGAAACAACCTAAATTTGCATTGAATGAGGAATGGATTAAAAAAGACGTGGTATTTTTATACAATGGAGTACTACTCAGCCATAAAGAAGGACAAAAGAGCTTTTTATAGGTAAATAGATGCAACTTGAGCCCATACTCATAGGTGAGTATCAGACATGCATGTTTAAACATTGTATTGTCTCACTAGTGTGAGAAGCTGAAAGAAACAATATACATATACATATATATACATAATATATAAAACATAGTTAAGATAGTTATACTACTGATTTCTCTGAGTTCAGTGAAGAGAAAGGTCTGCACTGGTACTATTTGGACAACTGAATGCAGATGTCTTGTGCTCTGGGTGACTGATTTGGGGATGGCAATGCACAGTGTATGCATCATGTTTTGAAATTTTGCTTTATCTTTTTTTCTCTTTAAAATAAAATAGATTTGGGGAAAAAAAAAAGATCTGGTGTCTTCTGTGGCCACCGAGTACTGAGGAGACCAGGGAAAAGTGATGGTCAAAGCAGAGTTTTAGGTCCAGTTTATCCTCAAAATCTCCCAGGCAATGGCAGCCCCTGTGTTGATTTTCTAAAATCAGAAAAGCACCCCCCCACACTTGTTACATTCTTTGTATGTGTGTCTGATTCGGGTGTCAGTGGAGGAGCAGTCTGAGAAGGCGTGAGGCCCAGGCTGGGTGCGTGTCCCTCACACAGAAGGTCCCCAAGCAACCCATGCGAACATGATGCAGATGGGCCGGCGGGAACCCAAGCACAGCTCCAGCTGAGGTCACGAGAGGATGGCCCTGGACAAGACTGGATAGGATCTGCCGGTAAGCAGCGGCCCAGTGCCCACAGCCGGGCTTACATCTCAGGCCACAGCCAGGAAACAAGTGACACAGAGCAACACTGCATGAGCGGACACCACACCATGCACACTGTTTTCACAACTGGCTGTCTTGTTCTGTTTTGTTTTGTCTTTTTGAAACAAGGTCTCACTATGCAGTCCAGGATAGCCTTGAGCTCATTTTGTAGCCCAAGCTGGC